TCTTTATACACAGACATTGACAATCTTAGGCCTTCTGTCAAAGGGTTCATCTCACTCATTATTCCATGTCCACCATTTTGTGCAATCATCAAGTGGCTTCACGATGTAATGCTTTCATGTTCTAAAAATTTTTGATCTGTTTTTAACTTGTACTTGTCACACAGTTGTGTGTATTTTATATAATTTTGACCATTGCACCATCTATCCAGCTTTCCCCATGTTACTGGGTGTTTCCCTCATCCTGTACTTAAACAACAATAATTAGCAACATCCTCACATACCACTGTAAGTTAAGTCAATTTAAATTCATTTTACACTATTGTTGCTACTGTTATCAATGTAATTGCAGCTTCTGATGATGATGGCAAAGTCCATTGAAAGCTAGAGAGAATAAAAAAGTATAAAGAGTCCTCTTTGCTTAAATTTTTGTCGAAGTACCCAACAAAAGGCGGAAGCTTTAATTTTTCACCTATATATATATATATATAGTATTCATAGTTAATTGCTTTAACTGTTAGGAGAAGAAATCCTTTAATTTCTTTGGGTAGAAGGCAAAGTATTGCAAAAGTACACTTTTATAACTTAAAATCTCAAGCTTCGAAGAATTATTTCTTCATCGTCTGGAGCTGGAAACAATTATTAAAATTGCAACTAATAGTAATTAGGAGAAAATTATTTACTTACTAAGTCGGCGAGATTGTTGCTGAAATTTCATCTTTTTTTCCACTGATAATCTCCACATTATCCTACTCATGCCGGCCGACTGACATTCTACAGCAGCGTATGAGGTGTGACCTTGAAAATTATTAGTAGGTCACCCATTATGTAGTACTGTGAAGTGTGTTGGCTAATAGTAAGGCGTTTTTGTGATGTATAGTGCAAGAGGTTGCGCTATTGTTGACCGATGAAGTGCGAAGAAATTTTCCGAACCCAACAGAAGTTGCTTTGGAAGGAGTGTGATTTGAATGTTAGCCTATCAAACAACTGACAAATCCGTAGGGGGTATCACCACTTGAGGACGAAGACATTGAGAAATTTTGATTTGATTTTATTAAGATAGTGAAAAACTATTGTGTGTAGATTTACCGATTATATTGGGACAAAGCTATGCTGGGGGAGGTATGTTGCTTTTCCAATTTTTCGCAGTTCAGCAAATATGCGTAGACGACGCAAAGTTGATTAACATCCGCTTTTTTGTTCATGCAGTTGTCTGTCATAAAGATATGTGACATTTAAAAAACAGGCGTTTTGATAAGTGGATGTTTTTCTCTGTCTAGCACCTTGATATCATTGTATCCCATTTTATGCCCTGTGGAATTGACGTGTGAAGTTAGAGCATATCTTTCTGGATGCAGTCTGGCATCACTTTTATGTGAAGTTATTCTACCTTTAAGGGATCTTGAGGTTTGACCTATGTATGTGAGATTGCAGTTATTACAATTGATGGAGTAGACAATGTTGGATAGGCCAAGCAGATGAACTCTATCATTCATTTTGGAGAAGACACTGTTGACTGTGAGTGTTGATTTGTAAGCCATGCGGCAATTCGAAGTGTTGCATAATCTAGAAAGTTTTGGTTTTAGATATTTAACGTATGGTTGCACTGCGAAACTAGTACTAGAAATTGATGGAATGTCTGTATCATTAGGAGGATTGTCATTGTTTTTGGGATTGTTGTTATCATTGTTATGTGACGATGGTATAGCAGCGGGAGAGCTGAACAAGATTCTGTTTGTCAGGTATTTTGGATAACCATTATTCGTGAAAAGTGGACAAATAAACCAAGACCAGAAAAAATCACTAACCACATACTACTCAGTCTCACGAAAATGTTATGCCCTGCCTAAAATACATGTGAGAAAATTATCATTTTCTTAGGGAAAATCAAACACTTCATAACTTGTATCACATGTATTCACTCCAGCATCTGTTACAAGACTGACTATGACTAACCACCTTGCCCACAAAAACACATCGCAGCACATCGGAATATTTACGGTCGCCAGAAGTAAACAAAACATATTCAATAGACAAAACATATTCGATAGACAAAACATATTCGATGGCGTAGCGTAGCGAATCAGCGAAAGGCTCACACGGCCAATCCTGAATCTAAATTCGTTCTCGAATTTTACCTCCTGACCCATGTTACAAGAACACCATTTAGACTATATAATGTAGCAAAGAACACGTCATTTCAACGGTTAGACCCTCACGATCTAAACGCAAAGAGCACGTCTTTCAGCTTTTAACGATACATCACTCACTATTGCAAAGAGCACGTCATTTCAACGATTAGACCCTCACGATCTAAACGCAAAGAGCACGTCTTTCAGCTTTTAACGATACATCACTCACTATTGCAAAGAGCACGTCATTTCAACGATCAAGTCCTAATGACCTTGTCGCAAAGAGTACGTCTTTCAACAAGTAGCAAGGTTTTTTTTTAACCAGCAAGGTAAAGAGCACGTCATTTCAGCAGTCAAGGTCTCATTACCTTGATGCAAAGAGCACGTCTTTCAACCCAAAACTTTTTTTTTTCTTTTTTTTTTCACTAATTTATTTTGTCAGGTTTTTGTAATATCAAGGCTCACACGGTTATAGCCTAACAAATACTTTATAATAACAACAACGTAAATCATAATCATTATTCATGTCTCTAAATATAACATACAACATTCTCATAATACCAACAAAAGAATGTACAAAAAGGGATAAACAAATAACAATGGTTATTAAATGTTATCTTATTCAAATTCACCTGGCCATACCCGCATCATATCATTAGCAACAATTCTTTTGCGATTGGTCGCCAAATTTTTAATTTCTACTCGGTCATTAGGCAACAACTGTAAAATTTCGAATGGACCTTCGTATCTAGGGTCTAGTTTAGCTAGGTGCGAATTTCCAGATGGATGGAAAACTATGTCTCCTACTTTAAAACTGTTAGTTGTTTTTCGGCTTTTATCAAATCTGTCTTTTGACTCTAAACCGCAACGCAGAGAGCGTTCATAGGCAGTTTTACGATCATTAATTAAATTTTGATCAGTAGTCGTCACTGGTTTTATACTCTCTGTTAAATTCTGAATGTCCATGGTATCCATAAGTTGCCCTGTTAACAAATAGAGCGGGGAAAATCCCGTGGTTTTTTGGATAGTAGTATTAAGGGTCAGTTGTAACTTGGGGAGAACGCTCGCCCATTCTGACTTATTATTATTGACATTTACTCTGAGCAGGTCTAGAACTGTTGAGACGTATTGCTCTACCTGCCCATTTCCGCGTGGGGCACTTTTGGCAATTAGATGTTGGGTAATGTTTAATTTTGAGAGTAACTCTTTTACTTGTTCGGTTCCCCACTCAAAATCGACTCCTTTTTTTGTTAGGTTTGTAATACAAGCTGTGCGCGTTGAAAATTCAGGGATGTACTTGCGAAAGTACCCGGCTAGGCCCATAAATTGGCGGACCTGTTTGACATTTTTTGGATCGGGCGCATTGAATAAAGCTTTTAATTTTCCTTCGTCGGGCCTTACACCATCTTCGGAAATTTCTCGACCAAGATAAACAATTTTTTTCTGAAAAAATTTGCATTTGTTAATGTTTAAGCTGAAGCCCGCTGAGGTAAGGGACGCTAGGACCCGATCGAGTTTTTCTAAACCTGTCTGGATGGTTTTTGATGGAATGATTACGTCGTCCATATAAACCAGCGCATCGGTATCTTTGAGCTTACCCAGAGCTTTACAAATCGCCCGTTGAAATACTGCAGGGGAATTCGATAGACCAAATGGTGAACGCAGGTATTCAAAATGCCCGTCAGGCGTGACAAAAGCTGTTTTGGAAATAGAGTTTTCGGCCATAGGAATTTGATGAAACCCCGCTGCCATATCGAGAGTCGTAAAATACTTGCTTCCCCCTAGCTGATCAATTTGGTCGTCTATACGTGGCAATGGAAACCGATCTTTAATGGTTATTCCATTAAGGGCGCGATAGTCTACGCATAAACGTCGGCTGCCATCTTTTTTGTACACCAGAATAACTGGACTAGCAAAAGGCGACGTGCTTTCACGTATGATATTGTTTTGCAAGAGGTCGTCAATAATATCTTTTACCTTTTCTCGTTCGGACAATGACATTCGGTAAGGGTTATAACAAATTATTTTATCGGTTTTTAATTTGATTTCCATTTCACCGGTTGTTACAGCCCTCACGGAATTACCAACAATTATAGAATCGCTATATTTTGATAATAATTTCAACAAGGCGTCGAAATCATGTCCATTCAGTGGTGTTTGAATTTTCTCGGGAGAAATTGTTACGTTTTGAATCTTTTTAGATTCTATGTTATTTGTGTCATCGAGATAAATTCTAGACCCACATGAGTCAGTGCAAATTCTGATTCCTTTATGATTAAATAAATCTCTACCCAAAATTGCATCTAATTCCATAACAGAAGTTTCGACAACATAAAAACTAATTTCAAATGCCGTCCCCTCTCTCTCAACTAGTAAATTAGCCCTTTGACAACTTGGTATTGAATTGCCTCCTACACCCTTTAACATTATGAAAGTTGGTTCGAAATGACAGTGTAATTTATGGGCGACTTCTCTGCTTTATTTTGACTTTTGAAGAAGCATTTTTCAGAATTATGCCCGAATTTCGTACAGATCTCACAGGGTTTCGCAATACTTGGCAGATTATTTGAGCTTCTCGCCTTATTAGTATTATCGTATTTAAATAATTTAAGCGATTTAAAACAATTCCGGCTGATATGACCAGGTTGTTTACAGGAATAACATATTTTTCTCTCATCATTATGTTTAAACGGATTCGGGCGTTTTGGCGCCCCTACTTGAAGCTGAGAGTCTTGTTTATTAATTTGATAGTTGCTAAGCAAGTTAAGTAAGGTCGAAATGGAATCAACTCTACTATTAGAAGCAGCTGTTTTGACATGTGTGTCCGTTATATCACCAATAACTATCTCAACTATTTGACTATCACTCAAATTAAAATCTAGAGAGTTTAACAAAGATATTTTTTTTCCTTGCGTACTCACAATATCCCGTGGCTTGGTCACTTCTGTACATACTAGCTTTACGTAACCGCTCACTAAGATTCCTCTTCGCAGGATAAAGCTGACAAAGCTCGGCCCGGAAACTAGCCCAAACTTTATTTGATGGGTGCCAGTTGTCATACCAATCCTTTGCGTCACCTTCCAGGGCACCCGCGGCTCTGCAAAGCTGTTCAAAATCAGTCCACTTGAACGTGGTCGCCAAGGTCTCCATATCATTGCACCAACCCATCGCTCCCGCATCGCTTTTTGAGGGATCGAAAGCTGGAATGTTAATTGGCGCAGAGGGTGCTGGCACCACCGGCGCCGCTGCGGCTTGTTGGGGTTGCTGCTGAATTCCTCGAAGAACTGCAGTTAAAACACTGGTTAATTCCTCCATTTCGACAGACTTTTAGCACTTAAGTATCACTGCCAAAAGTAACGCTCACTAGGTATATACGCTCAGGACAATGAATTGCTCACGCACGCACACTCGAAATAAGTCAGGTTGCACTATGTATTTCTTCTGTGGTCCTTTTAGCGAGTTGAATCCCACTTCTGATGTGAGAAAATTATCATTTTCTTAGGGAAAATCAAACACTTCATAACTTGTATCACATGTATTCACTCCAGCATCTGTTACAAGACTGACTATGACTAACCACCTTGCCCACAAAAACACATCGCAGCACATCGGAATATTTACGGTCGCCAGAAGTAAACAAAACATATTCAATAGACAAAACATATTCGATAGACAAAACATATTCGATGGCGTAGCGTAGCGATTCAGCGAAAGGCTCACATACATAAACCAACACTGTCGGTAAGACCTATAGTAGCATCAATCGGATTGGCCTTCGCTAATTTCAGATATACACAAGTCAGCCCACATTAAAGGTGAATACTACACTAAAGACTCTTTTGATGTATCCCGACAATTTAACAGGTTGCAAATATCACCGGGACATGTGATCGTAAGTCTAGACGCGGTATCACTATTCAGTGACGTGTACTTAGAAGCTTGTATCATATCCATTCACAAACATTGTGATATAATATGTCAGCACTGTAATCTAACTCTGGAATCATTGTTCACCATCTTAAAATATCTTTTTAACAACAATTATTTCACTTTCAACAATAATACCTATTCACAAACACATGGTTGCCCAGTGGGATCAGTGTTATCACCAATTTTAGCAGACTATGTAATGGATGACCTTCTTGATATTGTCATTCAGGTACTGCCTTATAACCTTTTCTTCATCAAAAAATACGTAGATGACATAATCGTTTGCCTACCCTTTGAAGGTTTGGATGATATTTTAGATGTTTTTAACAGCTATGACCCCTACATCCAATTCACCATAGAAAAAGAAGATGATAATCAATCTGTTCCTTTCCTGGCCTCAAAAATCATCCGAAATAACAATATCTTAATGGTAGACTGGTACATGAAGCCTATGGCAATGAATTTCAGATCCTACCACAAACTTATGATAAAGATAAATCTGGTGAAACAAATGAAAACAAGGGTCACTAGCATTTCTAACAGTACCTTCCATCTTTCAAACATACGCAAACTCTCAACACTTTTCACGAATATTGGTTATGATAATGATAACAACAATCCCAATAACAATGACAAACCTCCTAATGATACAGACATTCCATCAATTTCCAGAACTAGTTTCGCAGTGCTACCATACATTAAAGATCTAACACCAAAACCTTCTAGATTATGCAACACTTTAAATTACCGCATTGCTTACAAATCGTCACTCACAGTCAACAGTGTCTTCTCGAAAATGAAAGATAGAGTTCATCTGCTTGGCCTATCCGACATTGTCTACTCCATCAATTGTAATAACCGTAATCTCACATACATAGGTCAAACCTCAAGCTCCCTTAAAGGTAGAATAACCTCACATAAAAGTAATGTCAGACTGAATCCAGAAAGATGTGCTCTAGCTTCACACGTGAATTCCACAGGGCATAAAATGGGATACAATGATATCAAGGTGCTAGACAGAGAAAAACATCTATCAAAACGCCTGTTTTCGGAACTATCACATATCTTTATGACACACAGTTGCATGAACAAAAAGGCGCATGTCAATCAACTTAGCGTCGCCTACGCATATTTGCTGAACTGCGAAAAATTGGAAAACCAACACATCTCCCCCAACATAGATTTATCCCAATAATCGCTTAATCTACACACAATCATTTTTCACTATTTTAATAAAATCAGATCAAAATTTCTCAATGCTTTCGTCCTCAAGTGGTAATACCTCCCTACGGATTTTTCAGTTGTTTGATAGGCTAACATCCAGATCACACTCCTTCCAAAGCAAGTTCTATTAGGTTTTGAAAATTTCTTCGCACTTTATCGGTCAACAATAGCGCAACCTCTTGCACTATACATTACAAAAACGCCTTACTATTAGGCAACACGCTTCACAGTCCTAAATAATGGGTGACCTACCAATAATTTTCAAGGTGATCAGTGATGAAATCTCGGGGGAATTTTCAATAGTTGATAGTTTCAAAATCTCCAAATTTCTGCCAAAATCAATCAACGCCTGATTTTAAATAAAACCTTTCACAATGATTTGCTATTTAACAATAAAGTAATTCCGTCCTAATCGAACCTCATCAGTCCAGTTTTTTATTCGTCGACTATGTGTTCCCATCACTGCTGTTTAAAAAAAATTTCAGCAACAATCTCGCCGACTTAGTAAGTAAATAATTTTCTCCTAATTACAATTAGTTGCTATTTGATTAATTGTTTCCAGCTCCATACGATGAAGAAAAAAATTCTTCGAAAGCTTGAGATTTTAAGTTATAAGAGTGTACTTTTGCAATACTTTGCCTTCTATCCAAAGAAATTAAAGGATATTTATAATATATATATATATATATATAGCCGGCCGACACGTGTTGGATAATGTGGGGGTTATCAGGGGAAACAAAAAGATGAAATCTCGAGGGAATTTTCAATAGTTCATAGTATTAAAATCTACAAATTACTTCCAAAATCAATCAACAATTATTTAAAAAAAAAACATAAAAATGATTTCCCATTTAATAATAAAATAATTCCGTCCTCATCGAACCTCATCAGTCCAGTTTTTTATTCGTCGACTATGTGTTCCCTTCACTGTTGTTTTAAAAACAATTTCAGCAACAATCTCGCCGACTTACTCCAGACGATGAAGACATAGATCTTCGAAAGCTTGAGAGTTTAAGTTATAAGAGTGTACTTTTGCAATACTTTGCCTTCTACCCAAAGCAATTAAAGGATATCTTCTCCTAACAGTTAAGGAAATTAAATATGAATACTATATATACAGGGTGACTTCGAAGTTGAGTCATTTATTTTAACAGTGAGTAGATCTGATCAAAAGAAATGTTTTTTTCCTTTACCATTTTTCTGGTAAAATTAAAGTAACAAAGTTATAGCCCTTTGGAAGTTTGAGTACCGCCCTGTCTCAATAATAATATGTTCGTGTTTGGCGACAACGGATATAATCCGCCTGACCGGTTCATCGCATCGGAAACAAAAAAGCGAAAGAATTTGAAACGTTTATCACGATATTTTTCGTCAGTCGATAAAGCGTTAGTGAATAGTAGTGTTTGTTGCGTGGCTCAAACGAAATCAAAAATGGCACATGTTTACGAAAATGCTGAACTTGTGGACATGATTCTTATTTACGGGGGGGCAGTCTTTACAAAATGCTCCCGGATGCATCACGGATTTATGCGAATCGGTTTCCCAATCGAGTGCAACCAACCCCTCGTGCCTTTGTTAATGTAGTACAAAGGGCTCGTGAATCAGGTGACTTAAGACCTCACAGGTCAGGGCATGCTGCTCCAAGACCGCACGATCAAATACAGGTCCGCACTGAAATACTTGTCGGGACGATACTTTATTAAACAAGGTAACATTTTTTTTTTATTTATTTTTATATTTTTACACACATATTTTGGTTTATCTTCCTTCTACAATAATTATCTGAAAATTAATGACTCAACTTCAAAGTCACCCTGTATATATATATATATAAATATAAAGAGAAAATGATCATGCCGAGAAAGGTACATAACAAGAAATAGGAAAATGATGGGCAAAATCCGCAAAAAGAAGGAAAGTGGATTCGAGCAGAAAATAGGAGAGAGAAACCAGCAGAAATACGTATCGCTCGGTTTACCTATCCTATTTTCTGCTCGAATACACTTTCCTTCTTTTTGCGGATTTTGCCCATTATTTTCCTTTTTTTGTTATATACCTTTCTCCGCATGATCATTTTCTCATTGTAGATCCTTTTGGTTTGAAGCACCACAGCAAGCGGCTATAACCGGCCGCGTGGTTGTGGTTAGATGTCGCTTTGAGAATTCGAGGTCTTCTAGCCATTTTATACTAGAATGTGTAGCTTGGCTCTTGTTGTGGACTTCGTGTGTGATTTTTGTCCCTCACCATCTTCGTTTTCTCAGGTTAAAAACGTATCCGGATGTATGGGCATGTGTATCTACTTTTGTAGTTGCATATTTGCATTCATTTCGAACCTGATGAAGCCAACCAGCAGAAATACGTATCGCTCGGGTTACCTACCATATTTTCTGCTCAAATCCACTTTCCTTCTTTTTGCGGATTTTGCCCATTATTTTCCTATTTTTTGTTATATATATATATGCAAAAACCTATATAACTACTGACCCGAAGTAATCAGAAAGTAGAAAAACGACAGATAACCAATTTATCCATTTTTCAGGTGTTGACTTCCGTGACCACGTCAGAAAACAATCAGCAACCCCTAAAACATTCTCCTTTCTACTTGCTCCTGCAACACCATTGGTGAAGCTATTTAATGTTTTCTTTGATAGCAGTACCTTTGTGTCGAAATTGAATTGGAATCGGAGCAGTAACTTCTAAAGTATAGAACCTGTGCTGCTCTGCGTGCGCGTAAAGCCCACTCATATGACAAACATATGAGTCAGAGTGTTTCTACTGGCCCTATACTGTGCAACTACTTTTAACATATGCAAATTATCTATTATCTACCATGTCGTACCAAGATCAATAAATTTATAGCGTGAGTTTTCTCTTCTCCATACTTCCGATAAGCCTGGTCGGATGCTTGTAAAACAGCGCTGGTAACAGACTATGGTGTGGCAGACAGAAGGATTAAAAGCAACATTACTCTACAATATTATAAACGTTTTTCCCAGTTTTACATTATTGTAACTTATCATCTCACGTTGTTGGAAAAATTGTGTATTTCCGGGAAACGCATAGCTGCATCCGCTAAGTCAGAGCCAACATTTTCGTCAGTAGCACGGTTTTATCAAGTGTATATTGCACACTATCACGTCGTGTAAATCGGAATCCTATCA